GAAACTTGTATGAGTTTACATTTAAAAGATTAAGTCTAAGGATGTTGTTTTTACTGGGTAATATGCCTTATTCCTCTCGATTTCAATAGAAGTCTGATTATCTTGTTCATGAAGTTAACTTTGGGTTTAGAAATGTCAAATGAACTTAAAAACCCTACTATGTGCCAAGTAGACAAAAGATCGCTTAAGTCCTAAGAAGGAAGTATGACTGTATGTTAGGGAGTAAAAGAGAAGGGACCTTTGGTAGGGTAATCAGACAAGAGAACACCTAAGGAAGAAAATAGACCAGCCTTCAAAGAGTTTTTTTTACAAGACATTGCAAATTGGAAAGGACAGGTAGTTAGAACTTGTTGTGCTTAACAGAAAGGAAGCCAAGAGGAAGACATGGGGGAAGAACCATGGTATACTGGGTAAGGCAGTAAAGGGCCAGACCACACTAGACTCTGTGGCAAGAAATTTTGAATTTACTCAGAGAGTGGAAAGCCATTAGAGGTTTTTTAAATAGAGAGAGCATTCTCTTAAAATAATTGGTAAGGAATGGTAGAATGTGGGCTGGAAGCAAGAACTGAATGCATATTTGTCCTGTAACTGTGTTTTATATTTTATATAAACATAGTGATTGCATTTTAGATAGAAATGGACACATTTAAGGGAGGTTTGGGGAGTAAAACCAGTGGAACTTATTGATGTATTGGAAAGTTGGGGTTAGAAGAGTGGTGATAGAGAAGAAAGGATAACTGCTAAGTTTCTGGATTTAGCAGTTAGATGAGGTATAGTACCACTCACTGAGTTTAGGAAGATTAACCAAGAGCTCTATTTTGAACTTATTATGTTTGAGGTCTTCTTTAAATTCAAATGAAAAGACCGAGAAGATTCTCTGAGTTTGGAACCCAGGGTGGAGAGACTAGACATAGAAATTTGGGATTTGTTAGCATATAGGTGGTAAAGTACAGAGACTGAAAAAGGGAGACAGCATAGATAGATAACAGGACCCAAGACTTACTCCTGAGAGAAGAACATTTAGAAGAACTATTATTCACTGATAATAGCCAAGCACCTAGAGCACCAGTGCCTGCCTGGCACATGGTAGGTAGGCTCTTGATTTGTTAAATTAATGGATGAATTTCATTAAAAAATCCCAATATTTAAAAGTTGGCAGAGGATTTTATCCTTGGGATAGGAGAAAAATCCAAGAAAATGGTATTATGGAAGCCAGGATTCAGAATATTTCAAGGAAGAGTGGTGAATAGTTGCATAAAAAGCTACTAATGGATTAAGTAGTCTGGAAGATAGAAATAATGTAGCTTTTTTGTGCTTTTTTTTCTTGTTTTTTCCTGAATTTTTTTTGTTTTCAGTCTGCTTGTCTTTAGAGGTAAGGACACATTTCACAGTCCTGAAATTCAAAATGATCTGAAAATCAAAATTTTTTTTGTAATTCATTTGGCATCAGAAGCTTAACCTGCATTAACAGGAAACTGTTGATGATCTTTTTGTGAAACAGAGTCTCTCTCTGTCATCCCAAATAAGAGTGCAGTGGCATCATCATGGCTCAAGTAATCCTCCTGCTTTAGCCCCAGGACACCTGGTTAATTTTTCTATTTTTAGTAGAGATGGGGTCTCACTCTTGTTCAGACTGGTCTCAAACTCCTGACCTCAAATGATCCTCCCTCTTGGCCTCTCAGAGTGCTAGGATTACAGGCGTGAGCCACCAGGCCCAGCCTGTTTATGATCTTTATTCCACTTATTGTGAATATTCACATATTTTTTTTGCTGCAGAAATGTTTGATTATAGCATGCTTCCCAGACTCTCTGATATTACATAATATAATATGTAGCAGATGTACCATAGTACCTTTACAAAATCTGAAATGATCCAAAATTTGAAACATTTCTAGTTCTAAGGACTGTGGATAAAAGATTCGAGATCTTAATAACCACTTCCATTCTGATAGCTTCTTGAAGAGGGAGCAACTTTTAAAATTTTGCAGATAAATCTTTATGGTAAATTCTTCACATTGATAATTAAAGTTTGTTGTGTTCAACACACCTTTGAGCTGATTTTTTAAGATGTTTGCTTTATTGGTAAAGTATTTTTAAATACAGGTTATTCCTTTCCCGAAATGTGTGGGACTATAAGTATGCAGATTTTAGGTGTTTTTTTTTTTTTTTTGGATTTAGGGATATTTGCAATAATACTTAACAGTTGTGCATATCTTATTTGAAAATCTGAAATCTGGCATGCTCTGATGAGCATTTATTTTGATTATAAAGAGGGTGTTCGAAAGATTTTGGATTCTGGAGCATGGCAGATTCCAAATTTTCAGATTAGGGATAATCAACCTGTATTTTGATGGAATTGAGGTAATGTTTAAAATGCCCAGATTATATTACTGACTATTTAAATGAGGTGAATACAAGCCATAGGTTCGTAAAACTAAGAAAAGATATTTTGTCTTTATTAAAAAGTAGTTGCCTACAAAGTAGCCATCTAGGGGATTGTGAAATACAGAGTTAAGTGGGGGGGGGTTGGAAATGGTTTTTTTATAACCGTCATATATTTTGAAACAGTTCTTGATAAACTGATTATCTGTAGCTTAGATGTCCTTGTAGACACGTATCATTTAGGTTGTATGTATATTTTTGGTGGGACTGGGACCCCTAACTTGTGGCAGACAAACTTGTTGAAAGCTGTGAATATTCATATAAAATTTGAAGACCTTATTAGTAAAAAGTAAGTTACTTTGATAAACTAGATAGGTAGTTTCTTGTGTTCATTTTCTTTAAATTAATAAAGCCTTTATTAAAAGTATTTTCATTCCATATTATGTCCTTTTCCTGTCAGCCTTCACCCTATAGATTATAAGTACTACTTAAGAGCATTGGCTGTGAGCTGTCCTGCCTGAGTTTGAATCTAACTCCTTAACTTGCTAGCTGTGTGACTTTGGCAACATTACCTGACTTGTTTGTGTTTTACCCTTCCACCCTATTATAAAATAGGAATAGTAGTAATAATACCTGTGTCATAGGGTTGTTGAAAAGATTCAAAGATAATACATGTCAAGTGCTTAGAATAGTGCCTTCTAGTAAGCACTTGGGACATGCTATTTACTGCTATCATTTTTTTCAATTATTACACTTGCCAAGAAGTTGCCAGTGTAGTTTCCTTTCTATAGATTATTGGGGGCTGGCACTTTGCATTGGATTCTCAGTATGCCCCATCAAGAGTATTTGGTCTTGTAATGTGTTAAATGCTAAGAGACATTTCATCTTGGTGATTCTTACACAGAGGCAAATGGGAGTTATGTGAAGACTAGACTTTATTTTTATTCTACTGATCTTTGGTAGTGATGATAACCTAGAAATACTGTTCCTTGTACTAACTTAGGTACGTGATGCTTTGTAACACTAGTGAGTTTTCCATACCTAAGAATTGAGTGAAACCAGATAGCTTTCAAGGAACTTTGTGTACTGCCACCATGTAGGGTAGAGGTTTATGGCAGATCCTTTTGTGATAGTTTATTTTCTGCATTCATAACCTTTCAATTGTGTTACTTCCAGAGGACTGTCTCACCAGGCCTGATTTAATTCTTGTCTATATTCTTTCATAGCTTCGTTGTTGGTACCTGCATTAAAAAAGTGGCCTAGGGGCATAGCACAGTGGCCTGTAAGCCCAGCACTTGGGAGGTCTTAGTGGGAGGATCTTTTGAGCCCAGGAGTTCAACACCAAGGGGGCAACATAATCAACATAGTGAGACCCATCTCTACAAAAAAAAAGAAATAATTAGCGGGGTATGGTGGTCCATTTGGGGACTGTTTGTTTAATCATTAGAATAGTTATTAAAATTAATTTCTAATTTGATAAAGGCTGTTGTAAAAGTACCTGTTACATTAGAAAACCAGTTAAGTCTTCTCTTGGTGTCTGTGGGGGATTTGTTCCAGGACTCCACACAGATATCAGAATTCAGGATATTCAATTTTCTTAAGTAACATGGTATAGTATTTGTATATAACCTATGTACATCCTCCCTTGTACTTTAAATCATCTCTAGATTACATATAATACCTAATATTAATACAATGTAAATGCTGTGTAAGTAGTTACACTGTTTTGTTTAGGGAATAATGACAAGAAAAAGATCCGCACATGTTCAGTACAGACACTACCATCCATTTTTTAAAAATTAGTTTCAATCAATGATGGTAGTCTACAGATAGAGGGCTAACTTTTATATATTTAAGAGGCTTTCTTATAGTCATGTTTTATTATAAGAAGTACTGGAGCTTTACCTACAAATATTAATTTTATTGAAATTTGATAGATGAAAACCTATGATTTGGGTGTTATTTGCTTATTTTTAAACAAATTTTATGAGTAAGTTTTAAGACATGAGGATATAGGTCCCATTTTAAAAGGCAGGCTAGGAATTATAACTTTTTAATCATGAAGAATGAGACAGTACTCTTCTTACCTTGAAAAATATCATGGATTTGTCATAGCAGAACAAAACTTTATTTAGGAAATAAATTTCAGTTATCAAAATTTCCCTGACAGACTGTAAGATGGACATAGTACATTTTTAACTCTTATGATAACTACTATAAGGGATTTCTGAGATGCTGAAAAAATTTTAAATTATCCAGTAAAACCCAGAGAACTGAACTTAAGTATCTAAATTTATCAGAGAATACTAAAAGCACATATTGCTTTAAAGAACAGAAACTAAAAATATTTGGGGAAGCCAAAAATCAGAAAAGCTTGCTTTCCTAATCTACAAGTGAACACAGTGTAATAATTGAGTCATCAATGTGTAAAAGTGTTCATAGTACCTTGGTTGTCTACTATAATTTGAAAGTTGCAAACTCTAAAATTATAATTTAAGGTTTTAACAAATCTTATTAATTGGTAAATAACTTATAATGATAGACATACATAAATTCAGATAGTTTATGAAGAGGATCCTCTTATCTGTATTGTTTAGTTTGTGTCTTTTCTATTTTAGGTGATATTGGAAACTATTATTATGGACAAGGTCATCCCATGAAACCTCATAGAATCCGCATGACCCATAACTTGCTGTTAAATTATGGCTTATACAGAAAAATGGAAATTATGGAGTCCACTTTTTCATAAATATTCAAAACTGATGTTTTCTTAGCCATACTTTGAACTTTGTTTATTATTTCCTTTGGAGGGCATTAGCAGTGAAAAAATCTTGAAGAAAACAAATTCCTTTTTTTGTTTTATTCCTTAGAGAAAACTAAAAAGGTAGGAGTTGTAGCCTCTTTTTTCCTCTTTAACCATTTTAAAAACAGTTCCTTCTACCCTACACTGTCACTGGAGAAACAGCTCGTTCTAGCATATTAAATATTTTTATTGAAATATTGTTAATCTACCTATGCTGTTGAAGGATTGAACTGAGACTGTTACAAAATATTATGCACAAAATGAATCCTACAAATATTTATTGGACATGTATATGGACATCTATGTTGGTGACCACACAGAGGTACTAATGACGTAAGTGCGACAGCTGCCTAACATGTTTTTGTAGGTAAAGATGAGAGTGTATATAAACAAAACAGTATCTGTTTGGAAGAATAGAAATACTTGAAGCATTTAATTTTTCTTTAAGATATAGACATTTAGAGAAAAGAGCGTGTTGCATGACACTCTTAATCTGTGGAAGCCTCTGGAAGAAGTGTGTCATAAATGAAATTGAGCTCTTTGGAATAAAGAGGATTACGATAGTAAAAGGAAGAGAGGTCATGAACTAAGTCTGAGTCTTTTCGGGGGAGTCATTGATGAATCAGTGTATGTAGAGCAGAAGGTTTATCATGGAAAATGAAGAGGGTAGAGTTTATGAACATGGATGACCTATTCCATTAAAAATAAGGATAATAAATTATAGTTGAAAGTTATTGCTTGTCTAGGTGCTTAAAGAAGTTTGAATTAGCTTGAATTGATAACTGTTTCTTAAAACACACATCAATAAATTTGGATTAGCTTTGGAAATTATATATTTGTTCTGGTGTGCCTAGTCTTTTCAGGTATTCATAGGTGAAATACATACTCTTTTTAAAATCCTGATATACCATTGTAATTCTACAATTCTGACATTTTTTACTTCACAGAGCCCATAAGCCACTGCCGAAGAAATGACAAAATACCACAGTGATGAGTATATCAAATTTTTGCGGTCAATAAGACCAGATAACATGTCTGAGTATAGTAAGCAGATGCAGAGATGTACGTTTCTATGTAAAAAGTATTGTAATATTGATAAGTATAAATGAGTATTTTTTCGGAGTTTATAATTAGAGTTGTCCAAATTTGGGTATTTTTCCTATTGGTCTGAATGTTGTTATAAATTTTTATTGATTTGAAAAGTCAGTATAATAATACTAAAGCTACTAAAGAAAAAAAACAAACTTGTCTGAAGCTTATTGGTCTGTGAAACTGCTGTTTAGATGTTCCTCTACTCTTTATTTTGCTTCCATGATAACTTTGAGACAATGGATGTTGATAGAGAGATCTCACTCCCTTGTTTCGAAAGAAAGATTATATTTTGATTAGCCTTGGTATATACCTCTTATATTCTCTTATATTTGTGTACTTTAGTTAACCTGGACTGTAATAATCTTTTTTTCTGCTTTTTGGTATATTAGTGCAGCTTTTGATTCTCTGCTACATAATGTTCTCTTTTATAGGTTTAAAGTGTCTTTTAGAGGTTAGTAACAATTTGGCTTAAAGGTAGAATGCAAAAGTCATCCTAAAATTATCGGAACAGTTTTTTAACGCTTGGTACTGGAGTTCATTCTCACTAGTGTTTTTATTGATGGGCTTCTGTAATTATAACAAATTAAGTGTAGTTGCTAGGCATCTCAAATATTCATAACCTCATATACATTTCCACTGTAGATTATCTCATTTGATTAGTTAAAATGCTATAATATAACTAGAACAGATATTATTTATTCATTTTTTTTCAGTGGGGATTCAGACTTAAATTAAAAAGAGGCATAGGTAGCCCCTTAGGCAAATGAATTAACAGGACTGATTTAAAACCTAATTAAGATTATGATCATATCTGAGTAGTAAGAAAGTAAAATTTATTGCTTTTCATTTACGGATGTACAAAGATTTATAAAACAATGAGCCTTATTCTTAAAGAGGTTACAATTTGGGACGTAGGGAGAGACTGAGAATGGGTTATACATATCTACTGTATACCCTCTATTCTGTCAGTACTAACGAACTAAATATGTCATGATGTCTCATGTCTCTATATATTGTTTCCTTGTTGTCTTAAGTACTCCTATATCTTGGCTCCCATGAACCTAGTTAGTTCTTACCATCTTTCAAGGTCAAGGTTAACCATGGACTGGACTTAGGCACTAGCTGCTATATCTTTTTGGTACCCACTTAAATACATTTCAAAGTTGAGGATGTTATGTGTATTTAAGGAATGTTAAAGAAATTGAAGTTACTTATTTTTTAGAATCTTGATTAAATAATTGTTAAATATTTAAGGAGAAATGCCCAGAAAATTTAAGCCCATGTTTTAATTAAATAAAAAAAATACTTTTATACCTTGACACATATTGATTTCTTGTTAATAGAACAGAGATATTCCACAAATAATCCAGACAGGATTTGGTAGAGGTGTTTCACAAATAAAACTTTAATAATCTTGGATAAAATAATAATTTATTTTAAAATTGCAGACTTTAGGTTACTACCATGAAGTATATGTTTTATGATTGTATCAAAGTATTTGTAGGAAATAGTTTTTGTAAGAAAAGGCTTTCGTTAATTTGCAGAATGGGTTGAAATTAATGAAATCCATCTTCCACAGTTAATGTTGGAGAGGATTGTCCAGTGTTTGATGGACTCTTTGAGTTTTGTCAGCTCTCAACTGGCGGCTCAGTTGGTAAGTTCTAAATTAATCAGATTTAGATGTTGATCTAAGCTTGATATATATCATTTGGGTTATTTGTTTAAAGCAGAAGTTTTAATGGTGGATTCTGATAAGAAAAGGCAGTCAGTATATTTACAGTAAAGGACAGTTTACTTTAAATCCCCATGTTTCATGATTTTAATGACTCACTTTTTTGTAAACTTTTATTTTCACTTAGAGACTTCTTTTTTTCCCCTATCTCTGCTAGCTACCATTGTTACTACCACTTTCCATTGTTTAATCTCAGGTCACAGCTATTGGTAAATATTTATCTAAGGAAAAACTGCTATTAGTGTCCTAGGTGATGATCTTTACCTCTTATGATTTTAAGCTTTTGCTTCTGCATGGCATACTCTTACTTATAGGGCTTTTGTCTATTTATCCTAATTTTTTATTTTAAATATTTTAAAAGTCTACTATATCTTGTTTCTACTTCTTAGCTGGGGCCGTGAAGTTAAACCGACAACAAACTGATATGGCTGTTAATTGGGCTGGAGGATTACATCATGCTAAGAAATCAGAAGCATCAGGGTTCTGTTATGTTAATGATATTGTGCTTGCCATTCTTGAATTACTAAAGTAAGTTAATTTATGTTGATACTTTTCCTATGATAAAATGTTTTAATTAAAACAAAATAAAAGTCTGGCTTTTTTCAAAACCAAGTAAATGGTAGGTTGAAACAGTTAAATTTTCTATGAATTTGTTATAAACCAATGAAGAAATGCAGCAAATTTACCCAGTCTTTTGATTATTATAAGTGAGAAATATATATAAAGGTCTAAAATGCCCATTAAATACCCTTTTTAAAAATATTAGGAGTAGCTTGGCAATTTAGATTTGAGTTAATTTCAACTAATGAAAAAAGACATGACCTTAGAAGTTTACATCTGACATTTTGTAAGTTGAAAGCAAAAATTTGAAGCCTACGTTAAAGGAAATTTGTTTATTGAGTGAATCTAGCTGACTGCCTAGCTTCCATTTTCTGAATGGGGCTTTGTTCTTCACCAGTGGATATAAAATGATCTCTTAAGTTGCTGAAGGAGTTATTTTTAGTTACCCTTGGCTGCAATTTGAGAGAGATCTATAGCGGTAAGGTACTTACGAATTTGGAGATTTACAGGTATTTTGTACTCATCAGTTGTAACACAACACATCTTAGATTCTACTTCATGTTGTACTGATTAGTGTTTTTTCAGCTTTGCAAATATTTTTGCTTATAGGTATTCCATGCTTACTATCATCCATAGAGACTAGTTTTTCAGTCACTTAAAACTTGGTATTGATTCCTTAAATAAACAATAACTGAGCAGTGTTGGTGTAACATCTTATTGATGCATCCAGATCCAAAGAAAAACATTTTGAATCTTTGCCTTGTTTTTTAATTGACTATTGATGTTGGTTCCAACATCAAAATGTTGATGCTCAAAGTGTCTTCAACTCTTTGAGCAAGTTCTTGCCCACTAAGCTGATAGTCTTAAACAAATTTAATTTATCTGGATACATTTTTTATGTGGTACAATCAAGCATGTTTAATTAATTGACTTAGTAAACAGTTTTCCTTGCTTCTCTAGCATAACAGCCACTCAGAAACTTCACTTCCATTACAACTTCACTTTTATTTTTTAAATTTTGTGAAGAAATTCTACGATGATGAGATACACTCTTAAATTTTCTAAATATTACTTTTTCGTGTGTTGAGAATATTCTTATGAATGCTTAGTCTGTCAATGTCAACTTACAATGTATTCTTTTAGCACAGCTATGGTACCATTGCATAATAAACACAATGCTTTGCCATCTAATTCAATAACAATAATACTTCACTGTACTTCAAAAGGATGTTCTTTGAAGTCCACTTTTCTCTTTTCTAGTTTTGATGTGGGTATGCGCTGGTTTTAACTGTGACTTGTAGTGCTGCAAACACTAGTTTGAAGTGATGGAAATACCACATGTGGTCTCTATCACAACTATTCATCTCTGCAGTTCAAAAGAAGTCATAGACATAAGTAAACAAATGCCTATGTTTCCATACAATTTTTTATGGACACTGAAATTTAAATTTTATGTAATTGTCACTTGTCAGAAAATACTCTTGATTTAATTTTATATTCAACCATTTAAAAAAGTAACAACTATTATTACCTGTAAAAAAGAGGTATTTGGCTTATGAAGTGTAGCTTGCCAATTCTTATTTTATAATATTAAAGATTTACTAGAGAGATGTTTAGTTAAAGTAACTATCTTAAGTATGGTGTAATCTTGAGTTGTTAATACACAGAAACATGTGCCATGTTATGGTTTTTTGGGCTTTTTGTGTGTTTGTTTGTTTTTGAGACAGTCTCACCCTGTCGCCCAAGCTGGAATGCAGTTGGCCCAATCATTACTTACTGTGACCTTGACCTCCTAGGCTCAAGCGATCATCCCACCTCAACCTCCCAAGTAGCTGGGACTGTAGTCATGCCCCACCATATCTGGGTTTTTTTTTTTTTTTTTTTTTAGAGATGAGGTCTCGTTGTATGTTGCCCAGGCTGGTCTTGAACTCCTGGCCTTAAGCCATCTTTCTCCTTCAGCCTCCTATCACACCCAGCCATATGCTATGTTTTTAAAGCATATAGAATATGACATTTCATAAAGAGTAAATATATTTTTTCACTTACATCGGACAAAAGGGGAGATTTAAAGGTGTAAGTTTCAAACTATGACTTCAGATGTTTTAGTGGTCTCTTAGGCTGGAAGTAAAGTAAAAAGAAGGTTAAACATTCTGGAATGCAAGAGGTCAAAAATAGGTTTCCTGAATTCATGGTGGTTCTTCCCATCTTAGAACCTTAAAAAAAAAAAACCTTATGACTTTGTTTTCAGGTATCATCAGAGAGTCTTATATATTGATATAGATATCCATCATGGTGATGGTGTTGAAGAAGCTTTTTATACAACAGATCGTGTAATGACTGTATCATTCCATAAATATGGGGAATACTTTCCTGGCACGGGAGACTTGAGGGTAAGACTAAATTCTGTCTGAATAAATACTATGAGATTAACCTAGGTGGTTAGTAATCCTATACTAGAACTAATATTTTTCCTGAGTCATTAATTTGAAGCTTCTATGCAGAATTGAATCACTTTATATGTGGTAACATCTGCTACAATTCACTTTTGCAGGCTTTAAGCAAAAATTGAATGAGAACTTAAAGAACTTTTTTTTTTCTCTGCTGTAGTGAAATAATTTTTGAATATCTGTGAAGCAGGCCCTTCAGTTTGAACTTCAAAATTACCTGATGGTAGCCTTCATTGCTGTTGATTGTGAAAATTGTGGAATAAGATAGACTAGTATTTTAGATTCCTCTGCTGCCCCTCCCCTGTGATTGGTCTTGATTTTAGTAGGTCTGATTTAATCTTTTTTCTTCCTTGGGCTTCTGAAATTTGTAGTGTATACTCTTTAGGGAGAGAACGATACCATAACTTAGCCCTGCATGCCTAACTTTAAGCGCATTTACTATACATCTATATCTTTTCCATTTGGTGCAACTCGTATTTATGAACGTGAAAAACCACAGGTCACTTTATTTTTCTAAAACCCATTGAAGATTTTTGCTTCACTAGAGTGTTTTTGAACCCTAACTCAATGCATATTGAAATTTATTCAGAAATTTAAACACCTCTTTTTAGTTCAAGCCTGGATTATATGGGGGATTTCTCATAGCATGGCATTCAACATTAGCTATAACTTATTCTATTTATTTTTCACATCTATGGTATGTTGTTAAAGAGTGCCTTAAAATATTCTTTAAATCTATGGTTTTTCTATATTTGGTCGTAGTGTATTACTCTTTCAGTAACAGAGTTATATTGATAAAATATGAAATGTTATTCTATGAATAATATTGATATTTTAAATGTGCCCCCATAGTTTGAGAAAACTAAAATCAATCTGTACATTAATATATGTGCAGCTGTATTTGGACTTTCTGTGAACTCATGTGTATCTTTGAAATTAATTTAATAAACACTCTCCTTTTCTTCGTAATTGATTCTAAAGCAGAAAAGAAGGTTACTGTGAGCTTAGGTCATTGTTAAAATGCTGCTTGCTTTAGAGTAGTCTAAGTGGAAAAAAGAAAACAGAAGATGATAAAGGTTGCAGTGTGGAAATAAGAAATGGAAGAGAAAACAGCTTGTTCCCACAAGGGCAAGCAGCTCTGAGTTGCCCAGCTCGAAGCAGCTAGGGTGAAAGTCCTGATCAACTTTCCATGTTCTGAACTTTTTAGGGTCAAATTATATGCCAACTGTGGTTCAACTGTGCAGGAGTGTAGGAATTCTCAGTAGTTTATCCACATTTGTGTAGTTCGTATTTAGTTAATCTTAATAAAAATTTAGTTCTTTAAGAAAATTGCAAGAGGAAATGTATAATTAGAAATGTCTTTCTTTCAATCTTTTCTGGGATATATATATGAGATATATATGTATATACTCAGATATACACACATACAGGATTAAATAAGTGTATATATATATGTATTATATATGGTTTCAGAGTGTGTATATACGCTGGAACCTTTGCCTCTTTTGAGGTATTAATGCCTGGCGTGGTACTCATTCAACAAGTAGAAACAAAATTTATTTCCAGTCCATTAAAAGAAATCTGATGCTTTGGTCTGTATCTGTTAAAACTTCAAGAAAATCTGGGCCTTTCTTCTGTCATAAGTAAACTCATACAGAGATTGTGAACTAGAAGAATGATCTGCATTACAGATACAGTTGCGCTGCAGGAATC